TGGCTCCGTTTCGCCTCCTCACACACCTGCAAGCTGTTGCCTCATCAGTGGACTGCTCTTAAGCTGCTGGTTGCAACTACTTCGACGCCAAGGTGTTAGCCAGTTTGGGGTACTCTAGCCAAGCCTTGTTTATGCTGAGTCTAATCTAAGTTTTTGCATTTTGAGTTTTTTGTCCTCTAGCCAAGCTGAGATCACATTAAGTTTAACTGAGTGCTTGTTTCTCCCTGAGTCTCAACTTTGTTTTTTCTTTGCCTTTCGGCAGGAAGCCTTCTAAACAGGAGGTTTGGATCCAGCCACCTTTGAGCACACTGAGATCTCTCTGAGTTAGGAAGTCATCTTCACCACAACCCGTTCAAGTACCACAGGAAAACTAAGTTGCAACCAGCGGCTACATCATTCCACTCCGTCCGAGTTATGGGTAAACCCTGTTCCGCCCTCCACCGAATCAAACTTTCTCTGGAGGACCAACACACAGACTGAAGTCTAAGTGTGTCTTCTTCTCTGGAAACGTGAGTGACAACAAATCCTCTCCTTCAAGATTGACAACTCCAATTTCCCACTGAGCCTGAACCTAACAGTCTGTTTTCCCTCTGCACCAAACTCAATATACACTTCAATAAAACCCATTGAACTTTTATATTGTGTCTCTCTGTTTGGCTTCATTGCATATGGGTCCGAGCCTTAGAAATAACCATGACAAAAGTGGAAGAAAATCTTGCATTTGACTCAAGTAAATTGTAAAAAGTAAAATATAAAATATTCAGGAGATGCTTTTCTTAAATGTAAAGAAATCAGAGCTGCAGTCGTTATTAAAGAGCTATGCTAGTTGTTAATCAAATATTCTGCCCCACATCATGACCAAACTGTGCTTCTAAAATAAAACAAAACAGATGAGGGATTTTAAAATATAGAAAATATAATGGAAACTATGTTTAAAGGAAAGAAAACACAGTCATAGGAAAGCCTGGGTAAGGTCAGAGAGCTTTTGATGAGGTTTGCTTAAGGTTATTTTTCAATTTCATGTGTAGGGGAGAGCAATACGTTGAGCTTATAATGCTTTGTGCCTCATAAGCATCCTTGTTGTTCCACATTTGTTCTTTTGAAGCCTATTGATTGGTATTTTACTTTATCTGTTTCCTGTCTCCTTAGCTCTTACCATGGGTAAAGTACACTGTTTATTGAAAGGTTTTATTGATGTGCATATCTCAGTCTGGCCCATTTGCTCCATAGACATGTCTGTTTTCAAATGGATCATGAAGACCAATTCCTCTATAAATGCAGTGCTATAATAGGCTGTTATAGTAAAGCTTTTTTTTTTATGTCTCAACAACTCTTATTTTGGCAAAACTTTTGGATCCAGTCTGACAAAGTCTGCACTACTTAGCGAAGGAGAATGGGTAAAAATGCCAGGCTCTAGATAGATATGCATTCTCTCACATGTAAGCAGAGCATGGCACCATGGTGATCTATTAGCATTGCAAATAAGAGAAGGTGGGAAGGAAATCTCCCTTTCTTCTCTCATATCCATTTAATGTTGTTACTACCCTGGGAACACTGCCATACAACACAGCCTTTCACAGACCTTTCCTGTCTCACAGAATGGTTCCATGTGAATGCCCATCTGTCTGCAGCTAACAAGACTAACGCTGCATGTGTGCGAGGGGATTTGGCACCGCAGGAGAAGACAAGGGGACAGTGGGGAGAGAGAGCAGGACTGAGGACAGCCAAAGAGGGCAGCTGAACTTCCACTTTGGTGACCCAGGCATCAACCACCTATCCGTTCACTGGTTCCAGATGTTGGATGTGCTACAAGGGAATGCACTCATGCACACAGAGATACAAGCAGGCACAGCCTCCTACTGCTGCTAAACTTCCCTGTTACCTCAGGTCATAGCTGACCTCTGACCCCCCACTGCTGCTCTTCGGAGATGATTGGCAGGTTGGGAACACAGCACGGATCCCCTGCAGAATTGCCTCTCCCAGGTCTGTGTGTTTTAATAACAGTAATCACATTTCAAACAATCACCATTTTTCAGTGCCAGATTAACCCAATTCCCACATCCTGTCCATAGGCTGCCTTGTTTGTTCCTGGCCGTTCAAAATCCCATTTTCTTGGTATTATCTGGAGAATGAGATTTGAAAGGCTGATGCAATGTTCCAGGATGTGTTGTCATGTTTAACAGCAAGCTAATCCGTTGTTTTTTGAATATTTGAGAAGCTGGTTCACTACAAAAAAATTATCAATTTAGTCTGTTTTGTGATGAGTGCTTAAAAAAATTGCACAAGCTCTTCCTCGAGCACAATGATGTCAGATATCAGTTGGAAATGATCTGGAAACGGTGTTACTGCAGGTTCACGTCCTTCCCGTGGGATTTCAAGACCCTCCGGTGCTTTATGGACTAATCAAATCCATAAAAAACAATCTTATTGATATTTGAGTTGAGGTAATGGCTTTGGCTAGACAAGCAACATCAGGCTGAAGAAAAAAAAAATCCTTCCAGACTGAGTAAGTCTCACTGAAAATAAAAAAGGAAAGAAAAGCATAAATAAGCACACTTTCATTAAAAGACTAATCATTACCGAAACAAGTAAAATTGCAGGTCATGTGGTGCCATTTTCATTGATATGAATGGATCCAGTTGGTGTTACAACTTTTAAACGATGCACATTTTTCTTTGCAAAAACAGCAACACTTTTTTCTCTGATGTAAAGTATGAAAGAGCAACAAAAGATGGCAAAGTAACAAAACAACTTCCTAAGGAAGAATGCTTATCCCAAGTTTATTTCTAAATGTCATACTACAAAAACTGACTTTGTAAAGATTAAATGCTTTTTAGATCTTTATTATTCTGTTTTCTTATGTTTTTATATATGCAAAAAAAAAATATGATACACCGATTTAAATGTGGGGAAAAGAAAGGGAAGTTTCTATAAACATCATATGCTGTCATGTCTTTGAAGTGTTGTTGGTGCTTTAGGTTGGATTTGGTGATGTTCTGAACATTTCATGTGTATTGGGATCAAACATGTGGAATACATGCAGAATTATTTGTCGCATCAGAACTGAGTATGATACTTTACCAAAATATCAACATCTGCTTTGACATATTCTCATAGTAAGGAGTCAACTGACCGCCTGGGACTGAAACTAATGCTCTCTGAATGCTCCAAAGTAATCAGATAATTACTAGTCAAATTAATCAGACGGTAGGTCAACCATCACTTTCACCACAGGTTCTTGCATTTGCAAGACTGAGGAGAGTTCATTAGTGTGAACACAGGTGGTTTAAAGGAATAGTACACCCAAAACATGATTA